CCATAAAAACTCGTTTAGAGCCACATTCTTGTTTTGATTATTTTCTCATCTCTTCACTTCTTTCGCGTATTCTTTTCATTTTTCACTCGATTTTTGTGCGTTTACAAAACTGTATTTGGCCGCGAAAGCAGAAAAATTTGTTATCCAGTTTTTAGGCGAATCAAAGTCAGGAGCGAAAGAGCCAAATATTTCTTCTTTATAAAATAGTTTGTATTGATATTTTCAAAGTTAAGGAATATAGCAATAAATTCCAATGGAAATACGGAGTACTAGGTAATAGTGAACATTTTTTTATTGTTCTATTTTTTAATATATATTGCTCACCTTGAGCTGCCTTTACTGCTTAATATTTGTAATATTTGCAAGGAATGCGATCCTCTCCTTTCGATAAAATGTTGCTGAAAAATAACCTTCCTAACGAACATTGGACCATTTGCGGGCCAATAACAGGACATGAATCACGTATGACGACAATCGTCCGTACGATATCGTGCTGAGATTGTCTTATTTCATGAAAACCAAAAATTGTTCGATCGTTTGTGCGATATCGTCCACTCAATTCCAGTTTTGCTTCACGTAACAGTAACACGTAACATCAACACAAATACAAGTTTGATATCGAAGCAAAAAAAAAAATGTGTCTACTTGCTAAAACAACAATAGCGGTATTTACATAACGTGATAACCAATTTATAACTTTAACACGTTTATCGGCAGTTTGTAACCTTAAATGAATACCCCTAAGAAAATAAATTATTATAAAATAAAACTTAACAGTTTGGAGTGAATGAACTCGTTTCACTTGAAGGATATAGCTTTAAATGAGGCCTTGAGTGCCAGAGTAGCCTAACTCACATTTAAAAAAAAAATAAAAATGTTACAGTTCAAAATATACTACTAGCCTCGAAGCGGTAATAGCCCGAAGCAAGCTAATATCAGGGTAGGTCCACTGAACCTTTCAGTAAAATACCGTATATATTACTTATAAGTGCATCATTCTACTATTTCTCGCCCAGCCAATCCACAATCGATGAATGCACTGATGACACATCCAGAGGCTCTCAGCAACGGTAGTCATCTACGACCGTAATTCATAGCCCATTAGCCTAGTAAGAACTGAAGCGGGTGGCGGCAGGTACCAGAAATAGCTCTTCTGGCCGAATGTTGCAAGGAGCGGTGGGTTGTGCACAAGGTAGCTTTATTAACCGTCGGAATATTTATTTTTTATGTATGTTACCGCATAGTTTTGAACCACGTGAACCGATTTCGAATTCTTTTTTTTATCGGACCACCTTTCCGGTCCTTTCCTTTCTCAAGGTTGGTCACAAACTAATTTCCCTAAATTTTCGTATGAGAATTGAAGTCGGTTGTGTGTTTTGCTTAAAAATTACTTGTTTTTCTAAAGCCTTTGCTGATATGTGTTCTGCCTCGAATACCCCAAAAACTAGTTATATGCAAGATTATGTTCTGCCGGAAAATACATATTCACTACTCCAATTTACTTATGAAAAGTGCTGGTTTTGTTGTAGTGGCACTACTAAGCCCTAACTAAATCGGTTAGTCCATCAATCGTTGTCGTTACGCTGAACCAACGGTAGGCGCAGGAAAGGTACGGTTTCGACGAGGACGAACCAAAGAAAGAATGCTCTTAGCTGCTAGGATTTAAATGGGCAGATGAAAAGGTGGTTGATGTCGTGGGACTAATATTCCCATGTTCCCATTGAAGTTATTCATAGGATGAGATACTTTTAAGGGGATAAAGGACTCTCTGTGAATGCCGTTTATGGCTTGTTAATACGCCATCGGGTCCAGTGATTGAGTAACGTATGTCTAGCTCGCGTCCGTCAGTTCGAGAAGATGTCTACTGAGAGGCCTGTAAGGAGTTTTATGCCTCAAGTAAGTGCTTGTTTGGATATGCCCTGTGGTAGCAACCAACCAGAAGCTGCTTGCTGAGTTACTGTCGGGAGTGCGGAGTTCTGGCAAGTCTCTAGCTTCGTCCACTGCATTCAACTATTCCCCGGTGACAAAATAGGCGCAGCATAATTCGCTCTAACTTGTCATACATACAAGAGCGCTCGTGCCTTACGCTCGGTGTACTGGCTATGTGCGCTGTTGGTCGTTTGAATATTTTAGTAGTAGTGTGGTGAATAGCGTTGTTGATGTGATAAGGGTATTCACTGCAGTGACTGCAAAATCTATCCTCGCCATTTGCAAAACACTTTACTTATATATATTTTCTTGCATACATTTTTAATAAAATTGTCGAATACTCTGAATTTCGAATACGTTACGCTAATTAACGCACTCAAGCATTATTTAATCCTTTATCTAGCGCGGAAAAAACTAGCATTACCTAACTTTCGGGTCCATTGGACTTCAAGGTAGTACTTAAAAAAATTAACATGATCAAACAAGTAGAGACTACATGAAAAGTGAACGACTTACTCAGATCAAAAGCATAAGACATTGATGTGGGAATACAACAAAATATCATTCGGGTCCATTGGACCCGGCCGGCAGACAAAGGGTTACGTACAAGCCTAAAACTATGCAGTATTTCTTCACAAATATTTCATATTTCTGACACAGCTTTAATTGCTTGCTGTGACATTCTGAAATAATTTTCAAAAGAAAAGCACGAAGTACCTAAAAATAAAGATCATATACAATTATCAAGGACCGAGAAAGTGTTCCAGTTTTGATTTTATTTGCATGTGAACAAAATGTAATGTCAAGAACGTTCCCACAAAAGAACCAAACGGGAACAAAATGAGAACAAAAGGTTTGGTAACGTTTCCGTAAAGAACAAAATGTGAACAAAACTCTCGGGAACATTCTCATGAAGAACAGAATGTGAATGAAATTTTCGGGAACGCTTCCGATGAGAACCAAATAAGAATGAAGTTATCGAGAACGTTTTCAAGGAGGTTGAAATAAGAACAAACGTCTGGGGAACTATCTGCTAGAGAACAAACCGAGAACCAAAGTTTTGAGAACTTAGCGTTAAGAATCAGAGGGGAGTCTGCGTGTTGAGATGAAAAATCGTTTAGTGATAACCAAGATAGATAATTCTAAGCCAGAGGAAATCTGGATCATTTGAATTTTCAGATCGCTTATCATTAGGGTGAACTGTTCATTTATGGAACAATTTTTAATTTTCAGTGCAAGAAAAGTTCGTGTCTTAAGTCTTTCGTTCACCTTATCGCATAATTATCTTTCAGTTCTTTTTTTTTTGTTCTCGCTTCCATTCTTCGCGAATAGTTCAGATAAGATTTGTTCTCGTTCGCTCTCTGTCAGAAAGTTCCTGGGATTCTAGTTCCAAAATTGTTCTTCGAGAGAAAGTTCCTTAGACTTTTTTCCCCATCTAGTTTCTTTGCCATAACGTTCCAGAGACTTTTGTTCGCATTTTGTCCACTTAAAAATGCTCATGAAAGTATTTTTCGCGTTTTGTACTCTTTGGGAACGTTCCACAGGGTTTTGCTCTTACATAATCCCCATTGAGAACGTCGTCAACTGTTCTTGTTCCCATTTTGGTTTTGGTGTTGGAGCGTTCTTGGGAACAAAACTACGGGAACGACATTTAGTTTCGATCATACCTTTTTTGTTCTCGTTCCCTGAAGAGTATGTGTTTCAACAAAAAATCAGAAATTCGGGCAATAGGTGAAACAATTTTGCTTTTCTATGCAGAGTTTTGGTGCAATTCTGACAATCGCTACGTAAAATTTTGGTCGCTAAAATTCTCTAAACAAAAAGCAGTGGGGCCTAAAAGTATACAACATGGAAGAGTAACACATTAAATGTGTAAACAGCCAAATCTGGCAGTATGGGAGTACATGTAACTAGATGTTGCGTGTTGTTAGGGGCGCCTGCTATTCTTTTGGAGATCCGGTTGCTGGTGTCATATTGCAACCCAATGTTGCAAATTTTTAAGCGCACCTCTTACTTATTTAGGCAATTTATGCGATTAAGGTTTAGTTGGTGATTTCAAGGATCCTATTGCTGGTATGGAGCACGTATAAATTTTCCCTTGTGTAATAAAAATGAACGAGTTTGGCTTATATGTATTATCAATTGAACTCCATGGTGCAAATAATTTTCTCAACCGAAAAAATACTAATATTAACGGAATATTTCATTTCGTTATTTTTTATGATAAATTTAATATTAGAACGTAAATAAAATTTCTCTCTCTTCTTTTTATTTTGCAGTTTTGTTGACAAAAAACATTGCGGAAATACAAATATTGTACGGAAAATTCTTATTTTTAAATAATCGCTAAAGAAATGCATGCATGAAAATTCCGTTATTTTAGCTTAAAAATGCGGTGAGACAATGTAGCAGAAATAAAAAAAAAACAACAAACAACACGAAATAAAACGTAAGTTATAAGCGTGGCTGCACTGCATGCAATGCGCCATTTAAAGTAAGCAAAAAGCAAAAAAAAACAGCGCCTAAAAATATGCAAAGCAAACAAATATAAACACATGCATACAGTATAAGCAGCAAAAATTCAACTAAAGGCAAACGACGAACAAATATCAAAAACTAAAAAAGTAAACGAACACCAACTATTGCTGCCATTTAATGACAAACAACAACTGCATTCAACATACATACATAGGCGTACATTTTACATTCGTATAGCAAGCAGCAGCAAAAATTAAAGCACGCAAATAATGTCTATGCAATCAACTACATATATAAGTAAATTTGCATGTAGTCAAAAATTACGCCGCCAGCGTCAGCAACTAAAAAAATAACGCAGCAGTGAGAGGGAAAAAATTGCTATAAAAATAGCAGCTCGCACAACAGCAACAAGCAACAAAGTACTAGTGCCGTCAGTCACTTTGTCTACTGTCGCCATAACCACATATACATACATACATACATATCTACACACACACACACACACCAGCATAAATCGGCTACTGTTCGCTTGCGCACAATTGAAGCTCGTCCATTAAAGGGGAAAGCAGTTTTTATGGTAAGTTTCACAGGCTTTTTACAACTCTTTTGAATTTATTTTAATTTTTTCAATTTTTTTGCATCCATCCCATGCTAAGCATACTTGACTTCTTTGCGGCATTTTTGTGGCGAAAAATACTTTGCCTGCATTTTTTTTT